TGTTTCTGTATATCAAAGCTATATTCAAGTTTTGTACAACACCAAAAAACCTTTTCACGTAAAATTTGTATTAAATTAATTTGATTAAAACACAGATGGTAGTACCATCGAAATTGTTTGTTTTGTTGTTGAATTTCGCGCAAATCTACACGACGGTTATCAGCAGGCCCAGCATGGCCAGGTGGTTAGGGCACTCGACTCGCAATCTAAGGGTCGTGGGTTCGAATCCCCGTCCCACCAAACATACTCGCCCTTTCAGCTGTGGGGGCATTATAATGTGACGTTGGTAAAAGAGTATCCCAATAGTTGGCGGTGGGTGGTGATGACTAGCTGCCTTCCCTCTAGTCTTACAGTGCTAAATTAGGGATGACTAGCGCAGATAGCCCTCGTGTAGTTTTGCACGAAATTCAAAACAAACAAACAAAATTTAATCATTTATTTTATTTTTCGTTTTGTATGACGCTTAGTTTAGTTGTAATTTGGTTTTGTATTTCGTACACATATTTCGAGTGTAATTAAATTTTTGATCACCAAGTAATGTGTTTTCTTATTTTTACAATAACCATAACATGAATACCACTTCCTTAAATAAAGTACAAAGCCTGATATCGTCCAGGTAAGCCTTATTTAGTCAAACTGTAATATTATGTTTAGTACAGTGTCAGAAAGTAGGGGGCGAGAAAGCGTTACTAGGCAACGGTCCTGAGAAATAGAAACACCATAGAAGATTGGGTGGTTTAATACATTGATTGATCTTATTTTGAGTAGAAATCACCGTGTTCTACGTAAATAAGTTATTTGATCCACCTATATTTTGTTAAGTTTTATAAGGATGATATAAAAGTATGTTTGATCTTCTTTTGCTTGACTTTCCTTATCTTACGAAACATATAATATTAAATTACGTAAGCTTGGCTATAAAATACGTACGACAATAGTATAAGTATAACCAAGAACTTAAGAAAGTTGTGAAATATCAATATTTTGAGACATTATAAAGCATGTTTTCATCCTAAACTAATCCTTAGAGTTTTTAAACTAGTAAACTCCGAACTTTGTGTAATTACTATAGACAATACTAGAACTGATGAGAAACAGCCTATTTCAGAGTTGGTACATTATTCAGTGCCGCTAGCTCATTATTTAGTGGCCTTTATTTTAAGTGTTTTATTGTTCATAATTGAAATATTAAATTTCTGAAGAAACTATAATGCAAAACTATTTTGTTTTACCTAGGTTTTTTATAACTTAAATCAAGGTGGACCTAATAGTTATTAATTAATATTGTATTAATAAATAATATGCAAAGGAAACATTATTTTGTTATGGAATAATAAATTACTTAGGTTTTCCATGACTTTGATCAAGGTGGACCTAATAGTTATTAATTGATATTATATTAATAAGGAACACACAAATATAACATTGTTTTGTTCTGAAGTAATAAGTTAATAAGTTTTCTTTTTTGATAAAATAATGTGTTTTATTGTTATTGCTCTGTTTTGTTTCATGAGAAAGTCATTTTGTTTTACTGTTGCTCTGTTTGTTTTATAATAAAAGTCATTTTGTTTAGTTTTATAATAAAGTCATCTTTTTTATCATTACACTGCTTGTTTCACAATAAAGCCATCTGGTTTTATGTTATAATAGTCATCTTGTTCTGTGTTATCATAAATTATCTTGTTTTGTGTTATAATAAATTCATCTTGTTCTGTGTTATAATAAAGTAACTTGTTTTGTTTTATAATAAGGCCATCTGGTTTTGTGTTATAATAAATTATCTTGTTTTGTTTTATAATAAAGCCATCTTGTTCTGTGTTATAATAAAGTAACTTGTTTTGTTTTATAATAAGGCCATCTGGTTTTGTTTATAATAAAGTAACTTGTTTTGTTTTATAATAAAGCCATCTGGTTTTGTGTTATAATAAAGTAACTTGTTTTGTTTTATAATAAGGCCATCTTGTTTTGTTTTAAAATAAAAGTCATCTTGTTGTAATGTCATTCCTTTTATAATGAAATACTTGCCAAGTTAAAATACATTAATCAACAAATTTGAAAAGAATGTTTTAATGACAGTTTTTCATCCTTTTTGCCAGCAACGCCTGTAACGTTGATTTTAATTTTGTCAATAAACTTATTTTAAGTTGGTGGGTGTTTTCATTTCTTCGTTTTCTTCTACATTCTGTACTTTCCTTGTCTAAACAGTGCTTTTATTATGAGAACCCATTGTTTCATAATAAAGTAATTTTATTTTAATATTACACTTTTTGTTTTATAGCATTATTACAGTGGTTATTGTGTTAACATAATATTAATTAATTATTGTCCTGTCTTAAGTTATTATTGCACTGTTTTTCTTTCACATTAAACTTCTTTTTCTTGAATTGTTAAACAATATTGTTTTTATTTTAAACTTGTGATTCTTTATAACTGCACTGTTGTCCATCCATTAAGTACTAACACACCACATACTATTACCCAGCACCTAGTAAATGTAGTGAGACAATCTGCTACCCTGACGAGGGATGTTGAAAAACAATCCTTTCTATCTTTAACCAAACAACAATAGCAAAAGTATAAAACATACTTTTTATAATACTGTTTTATTCTGCTTAGATCACCTACTGCTACCAGTCTTTCTTATGGAGAAATTAGGCATGCAGAATGAGGAAAACATATATTCTCTACTTATTCCTAACCAGGAGTGGCTTCAAAACTACGGGCTTCAGGGTTGTAATGTAAACCTCCATTCTCTTGCAACAGAAGTAACAAACAGAAGTGGTAACGACAATCCTTGTTTATGTTGATTAAAACTGTTCTTATACTTCAACTGAAAAACATAAGACATGACAGTACTGTTTTAAACATATTGGCTTATGAACTGGAAGGGTTAACAAAAACTAATTCAAAATGTTTATAATGACTTCTGAAAAAAAAAGAAAAAAGATAGTTCTGAGAACTCACAAACATACAAAGAATTATAAAAATATTAACTGATGATCATCAAAACATATAGGAGTCACGAAACTATAAAGACACTAAGTGATGGTTATCAGAACGTATACAGTCACGAAACTATAAAGACACTAAGTGATGGTTATCAGAACGTATACAGTCACAAAACTATAAAGACACTAAGTGATGGTTATCAGAACGTATACAGTCACGAAACTATAAAGACACTAAGTGATGGTTATCAGAACGTATACAGTCACGAAACTATAAAGACACTAAGTGATGGTTATCAGAACAT